CAAGAGAAAAATTGCCAGCACATCAAGCCCACACACGTTAACAACAGCAGACCATGTCAGCAGATAAATCTGAGGGGTCATCAGATGATTAATCAGAGAAAAAAGAAGAAGAAACTAGCTCTGGTTCACAAATCTGTTTTCAGTTTTTAGACTTTGATTTTTAGTGAGATATTTGATCATTTCAACATTTAAGGAAATAAAACCATGTGAGAAGTTTAGAGGGAAAAATCACTATTTGGTGAACTCTTGACTCAGACACCTGAATTGTGACCCTGATTAAACACTGCTTTTTGTAAGATGTAAGAAGCCAAAAAAGTCTAAATGTACTTAATTACCTTCCACCACTGCTAATACAATTACTGAGCCACACACTCAAAAGTGAAAACAAAGATGGTGTTTCTTAAAAACCTAATACCGAAAAGATAAAAAAACTAACTAAGCCACCACAGCCACACAAGAAACTATTAACATAAATAATAAACTCTATATTAATGTCAAAACTTATCTCTACAACAACTAATCCTCCACTGTGTCACTGCTCGTGCCTGTGTGTTTGCTAACATTAGATATTGGTAATGAAATGACAAGCTAACATTGGAAATGAATGGGCGCTAACAGCTAGCTAGCATTAGTTAGCTAAACTTTAAGTTGAGGCAGAAATTAGAAACAAGACAACGTCAGCGTTCATCTGTAGATACTTTAAACAATCTAATTCAAAAACGGTGCGTAAGACAGTAAAGTGTATTAAACCAACTGGATAGTGTGCTACTTACACTTCTCGTCACTGTCGCACGGTAGCAGAGACGCAGCCGCAGCGCAAGCCACTGACACGAGTAAGGAAAGTAAACAACACTTTACGTCAGGGTTAGGAAATGGTACAGTCCACTGTGGGTGTGTGTGTGTGTGTGTGTGTGTGTGTGTGGGAGGGGGGGGGGGGGGGGGGGGGGCTGGGTCAAATCCCCCCCGTAATTCGAACTCTGGTTTACAGCACACTAACCAGCTTCATTAGCATAATTTTCAACAACAGCAGGCAAGTGTTCCCAGTGAAAAAGCTCTGATAAACTCATCATAAAATATCAAATGGAGGACAGACCCAGTTTGCAAATAGCTTGTAGATATAGTGGAAAAATTAAGTATTGAATATTAAATTTTCTTAAGGGGCGTGAATTTTTGAAACACAAATCTACCTGGATACCAATGATGCTCCATATTTCCTGTATGTTAAAATAGGGAACAGTTTTTCTCTCTCTCTCTCTCTCTCCTTTTATGTATTGTCTATAATTATATATTTATCACATTTCATAAAGTCTGGAGGCAGGGTTCCTTTTGAGAATTTAAGAATCTTTCCAGCTTTTAAGTAAAATATACCGTATGTATTGATGTGTATTATGATTCAAACCAACTTAATATCTTACCTCCTAGATAATAATTACCATTGTCTTTCCCACCATGTTGAGGTCACAGGCATCTGCCCCAGCTCAAGGCAAAGCTGTATTTATATGTACATGCACATGTACATGTTGCATTCCCTTAGCATAAATGTAACTGACAGAAAATTTAATGTCATAAGAAGCTATTAATAAACATCAATGTTTTCCACTCTCCCTCAGCCCAGTGGTGCGTTCACTAAAGGAGACAGGCAGAGTGGAGCCAGAGCTGTTTGAGGAGGTCACCATTTATTTCAGTGACATTGTGGGATTCACCACCCTCTGCCACTACAGTACCCCCATCGAAGTGGTCGACATGCTCAACCACATCTATAAGAACTTCGACAGCATCCTTGACCACCATGATGTTTATAAGGTACTCTGCTCACTGGATCTTAGGTAACATAGTGTTTAACCATTCGGGGGTGGAGCAGGGCAGTGGTGGGAGTTAGAGGTCAGGCAGGAAGTCTCCCATGAAGCAGCTGAGGTTGGGGTTAGACTGCTATTTGTAGCTGATTATCAGGTAACATTTTAATCAATTAATCTTTTCATCTGTTGTCTCTCAGGTGGAGACAATAGGAGATGCATACATGGTTGCATCAGGTTTGCCCAAACGCAACGGCAACAGGCACGCAGTGGACATCGCCCACATGGCCCTGGACATCCTAGCATTTGTAGGGACGTTTGAGCTGCAGCACCTGCCTGGCATCCCTCTGTGGATCCGTATTGGTGTGCACTCAGGTAACAGAAATTCATGTTTTCATTTTAGTTTTTATGGCCTAATATTTCAGATTAAGCATATTTAGATGTTTAGTCCTCAGGGTAATGTAATATAAAAACTCAAAACATGTATGAGGAGGGAAGGGAGTGTGTGGATAGTGACTTAGTTCTGCATGTAAAAATGATTTAAAAAAAAAGAACAGTAGGTGGCAGTGTAGCACTGATACAACCACAGAGACTTAGTTACAAGCAAAATGAGGAAGAGCAAACCAAAATAAGCAGTTTTTCTTCTTCCTTGTCATCATGTGTGTGATATCTAGTGGTTGAGTAACAGTAATGATTAACCAAACATAAATCAGACACCAACAAACATGCCTTTCTTATTGTCATAGATGTTATAAATGATCATAACATGAGAATCAAATGTGTGAAAACTCAGAAAATAGGAAAAGTTAGGACATGAAAAATAAAACAGTAACAGTAAAATGAATCAATCAATGAACTGGATGATGACATTTATGGTTGTTTGTGTGTATTCGCGTGTAGGACCGTGTGCGGCAGGAGTGGTGGGGAACAAGATGCCTCGCTACTGTCTTTTCGGAGATACAGTCAACACCGCCTCACGCATGGAGTCCACAGGCCTGCGTAAGAAACAGCACACACACACTCACACACATGCACACACACACACACACACACACTTTTTTTTTGTATTACACAAAGGTCTGGGGTACATTTGTCTAACACACTTTTTTTTTTTAACACAGTCACATTATTGGTAGTTCAGGTGCAGCTTCTGATATTCATATCCACAGAGTTAAAAAGAACTGCAGGTTTGACTCTGATGATTATTTCTCATGTTTTCTTTCCAGCTCTGAGAATTCACGTCAGCCAGTCCACCATCAACATCCTGCAGAGGACAGACTGCAAGTTTGAGTATGAAAAGAGAGGAGAGACGTACCTGAAGGTGAGCTGGGTTTGTCTTTTTGTGTACTTACCTTTCCAGGCATGTACATCTAGTATAAACTGTGCAGATAGTGGTTACTAGTTTCATTTCCTGTGTGTGTGTTTGTGTGCGTGTCCATGTGTGAATGACTCACAGGGCAAAGGCAAAGAGATGACATACTGGTTAACAGGGGTGACTGGGGGCAAATACAACCTGCCGACACCACCAACAGCGTGAGTATAAACATAAAAACACAGTCCCATTCAGATTTACTCCAAACAATTCAATTCAATTTCATTTGTATAATGCAAAATCATAATGGAAAAGCTCCTTTTAACTCAGGGTTATCGTGTGTCTGCCGTTAATTGTTATAGTGGAAATAATCATCCTACTACATATAAGTTCTAGTATTATCAATAATAATAATAATAATAATAATAATGAGTGTTGTAGTGTCAGATCTGGATCCTGCTGCTGCAAAACAGAGATACCTGCAGAATGAGGAAATGTCAATGTCTAAAGATACACTGTGTTATCACAAAGATGTAAATAAAAACATCCGTCAACCTCAGAGGGTTAAACAGAAATTGTAAAAGCTTGACAGGGCTTTGGCACTTTTAGTGTATTTATCTAAGTTCAGGCGTTTTACATCTTCTCACGTTTACATCCATAATCCAAAAATAATCCTCCTGTTGCTGTCACAGGGAGAACTTCCAGCGGCTCCAGCAGGACCTGGCGGAGATGATCGTGTCCAGCCTGGAGAAGCGTGGAGGCGGGCGCGAGGGCTTCAATAAGAGGAAGACCCTGTCCACCAAAATCCGTCGGAGGGAGACCAGCAGCAGCCTGCAGAGTGACGGCCTGCCAGAGTACTTCCACCTGGCTGTCACTGACAACCCCACCACCTACTTGTGATTACAGAGGAACGACCAGTACAATATTGGGCAACAAGTAGACGTTGTAGAAGTGCGTCCTAACCTGTACCTGTCTGAATCAGCACTGTTGGGTTTCTTTGGACAGCTCTGTTCATCCAGTGGTTGGAGAGACTGGAGAACAGCTGTGGAATAAGCAGGTGTGTTAAAGGTGAGACTTTAACATGTATGACAAAGGGCCAACAGGTTCAGTTCTCTTTATTTTCCCTGATATTATACTTTTCACCGCCGCATCCCTTCACTCCCTCTGCGGAAATGCTGTCCCTCTGACTCCTATAATGAACTGTGTCTTCATTGAAAAGAAAACTCCACCTTCAGACGTGGCAGACGAAGAAGAAGTGCTCGAAATAAAGCCTTCCTCTTTTATCGTGTGACACATTATCACACTTAGTTTACATTAAGTCATTACATTCGACCTGTTATTCACCGGAATAAGAAATAAAAATGACCAAACACTAAAACTGAACATAAAGAGGACGCTTTTTTTTTTTTTTTTTAACTGTCTGGAACAGAGCATAATTTTTTTAACTTCACTAAAGGTTTTATTACTATAGTGAGGGTATGTTTTGATTTCACCACTCGGGGGCGCCAGAGTCACACAGTCAACGTCCATAATCTGTGGACAGTGGTAAGTCACTGTTATTACTGTCACAACTAGATTTGAGAGCTATTATCAAATCACATGGTCAGTTCTCTCCAAGGAGGAATCCAGATATTGAGGGAAGATATTAAATGTGCTCTTCTTAACTTTACGTTGAACCGTTCTGTTTATGTTTAGATGTTTCCTTCACTGATTGAGAAAGTTTGACACAATTATTTACCATGTAAATAATAATAAACTACGTCCAAACGAGACTTGTCAAGAGTATTTGTCTTTCACACCACAATAACTCCACCCTGTGTTCACAACATCCCAAATATTTCTGAGATGATCTGCTTTGTGTTTTATTAAAAGATGTTTGAAATATGGGACAAGATTCAGAGCAGTTTCTTAGTTTTTAAACTATACACAGTCTTACATGGTATTACTGAACACAGATGTACATCATAAATTCTTTTTTTTTTTTCAAGCAAGTGAAGAGAAATAAAACAACAGCTGTAAAAATAATATTATTTAAAAACCATAAAAACATGGTAGAAAAGACAGATATCCAAAAGTTGAATTTCAACACACTGAGCACAATGTGCACAGAACAGGCAGTGAAGAGAAGTCTGTGAGAACACACACACACACACACACACACACACACACACACACACACACACACACACACACACACACACACACACACACACACACAGCCCTATACAGTTTTTGTTGTAACTAATGCAGTTCCACCGAGCTCTGTGGCAGGAAGTGGGATCTTGTGCCCCCTCACTCTGCTGCAAGCAGGCAGCCCTTCGCCCGCCTCTTTCCCAGCATGCTTTGCAAGGCCCCTGCAAGCAATGATCCCACTGCAATCCTCCCACTTCGAGCCTGTTTGGGCCCCCAGGTGCAGGTGAGGACAGGACCACGGGGCCTCTGCTGCTCGTTGAAACATCTGCGCCTGACCGTTTCTCTCTGAGGGCGGCGGGTGGATCGTTTTCTGAAGAGGCTCCAGCCCTGGTTCTGCATCCTCTGTGACACAAACAACACAGACACGAGTGTCTCAATGTAATGTACATGTGTGGATCTGAACTGGAACACTTACCGTTTATTTTTAGTCACAAAGACGACCACACACACCCAGCGTGTAAATCTGTTGTTTTTTTATTTTCATTTTTATTTTATTTTACATTCCTTTAATAAAGGCTTATAACATGTAATGAATGAAAATATTTAAATATATATTTAAATAATGTAAAATGTCAGTGAATAAGATTCTGTATGATGAGGAAGCAAAGTGGCTGTAAACTACTGAAAACAATAAAATACTCAGTGTCCATCAGAGGATTTCTTTGCCTTGTAGAGAGGATGTAGAATGTGTAACTGAAATATTTAGTAGAACTAGTGATAAAATGACTTTCAGATGTTACGAGACGAGTGCCAGACGTCTGCATTACACCACCAGTACAACAATGATATGTGTCACAACAACTAAAGCTGAATGCCTCCACTCTGCTAACTTTACATTCCTGGTTGTCCTGTAGATAAAGGTCCATTGACAGACAGTTAACTCGCTGAGGAGAAAAGCATGCTGCTGATTGTGAAGTGAATTTAGCTTCGCGTCGGCCATTGTTTCAAACATATTGATGAGTTTTACGTAGAATTGTGCTAAGACTGCACAAGAGCTGCATTCCAGAAGAGTCAGGATGGCATATTCAACCCTCTGAGGTCGATGGATGTTCTTATTAATATCTTTGTGATAATACAGCATAGAGATGTGGTTTAAATGTTGTTGGAATCTGTCGACTCTCCACTTTCCCTTTCATATTCTTACAAGATCATAAGTGACTCATAGCCTCTAAAATCTGGTTAAAGCAGAGTGACAGACGACACTACGACTCAGTGATGTTACAAAAGGCATTTATTATCTGTTTATCTACTATTTTACTCATATGTTGCACTATTTTTTATGACTTTATAGACTTTGATGAACACATTTGAAGCATTAAAACAATTCAACCACATCAGTAAAGGTTTGTTTTCACAAGATATTTATTATTTCAAAAATAAGGCTTCAAGTTTTCAGCATTTGGGCCAAATTATCTCTTTGCACAGTGAGGGGCCTCATTATAGAAAGAGCTGAGATTGTTCTGAGAATTGTGATATAAAACACTTGGGTGTGATGTGATGTGTAAGCACTCTTTAAAAGGGTGAAATTAAAATGGGAGAAAATGCCCTCAGACCTCAGAGAGTTAAAGCACGAAAAGCTGGAGCTTTTCAGCCTGAAGGCATGTCTCACAAAATGAATACAGACATCAGCAGCCTTCAGATACCCAGCTGTCTGTCCACCAGGCCAAACTCTTACATTAGGTGGTTGTACTGTCCCTCTGAGTGCACGTCATTCTGATTTCAGTGCCTCTCTGCGCGTCTCTTTTGTCAGTTTATGTGTTTTCAAGGTCAAGTGCAGACATCATTTATCCTGCCTAACCAACGGATGTGTGTTGAAACCAGAATAGCTGGTGAGAAAGCGCGGCCGACCCAGGGGACGAGCGCGGAGAAGAGAACAGAAACTGAGGAGTTTCTACTGTGAGGAACGTCACACTTCATCACCTGCCTGCCTGCCTGCCACCCCGCTTCCTCCACACAACTCTCAGACGCCAGCTCTGCATGTCAGATCCCCCATTTACAGGGAGAGAGAGAGAGAGAGAGAGAGAGAGAGAGAGAGAGAGAGAGAGAGACCCCCGCCACTGGATAGACGCTTGAAAAACGACATCACTGAGGAAATATTTAATCCAAGGCGTGAAGGATCAGGGGGTTGAAGTGATCCACTCCTTCACATTATAGGATCTGATAGCAACTCCTTCTCTAAGAAGAGTTACAGCAGTTTAGGTGTTTAATTACTGACAGTTATTTAAAGGTGATATTAAGTAAATATATCATATTTAATACCATTTATTTATTTATTTAATACCAAACATTTCCACAGAAAAGCCTCTGAAACAGCATTTAAACCATTCTGTGACACTAAAATCAAGACAAAAAAACAGGCTGAATAAAAGAAATCATCATTAACGCCAGTCGTCTTTACCTGAGGTGCTGCCTTGTCTGGTCTCTCGTCTGTATATGATGAACCAGAGAGCCAGAGCCAAGATGGACCCCATGGTGGCCAGCACCACGAAGATCCACAGAGCCGGACTCAGCATCAGCATGGGGTCGGCCTGGGGAACGGGGGCTATGACTCTCACCTGGTTTACATCAGCCTGCAGCGGCGGCTCTGGTGTGGGCGGGGGGGGGGGGGGGGGGGGTCAGACAGATTAACTGAGCAGGAAATGAACATTTATAAAGAGATGCAGAAACAAAATTTTAAAAAATAATACCTAAAGTGTTTCTTTAAAATTAACATATGTAGCCTAAGTTAATGTGGGAACTCCGCACTTCCCCTTTTAACAGACAACTAAATCATTTAAAGATCATGAGCAGCTGTGCACGGAGGAAATCCCTTAAATAGTTTGTGCCAAAGAGGACGAAATAAATACAGGTAGATCAGTTGGAAATCAACAACTCTGACACTTTACACAGCGAGGAAGAATACAAGTCAACATCCAGAGAGCATCAAGTCAAAACCAGGTCTAAAACCAAGAGGAGACTAAAACCTGACTCTGCTCGGGGGGGGGGCAGATAAAAACTTCATCTCACCTGTTGGTCGGTCAGGCTCGGGTCTGGTTTCCGTCTTGCTGTGGAGACAGGTGCCGATGAGCTCGTCCCACGTCTGGCCAGCAGAACAAATCTTCTTGACCCCGGTTTCCGTTTTGCTGGAGACACACTTGTTGGTGTGTTTGTCCAACATCTGGCCGGCAGAGCACGCCGTCTTGGTCGTGGGGTCCGTTTTGCCGGAGACACACATTTTGAGGAGACTGTCCCAACTCTGGCTGGCAGAGCAGTCCTTCTTGTCCATGGCTGAGACTGGGTGAGCAATGAGGAGACCTGCTGCAGTGTGATCCTCCTCTACACTTTTGTTTGTGATTCAAACCAATAAAAAAAAAAAAGAAGTAAAAAAAAGTAGTTGAGGACAGAGCTGTGAGACACAGAGAGGAGGTGTGACGGGAGGATTTGTGAAATGAATACAGGGTGTCTAACAGATGTTTCAGTTCCTCCATCTCATCGGAAAGGGTGAATCACTACGTGTCTCAGGGGGCAGAGAGAGCTTACTGTGTATCTGTTTCAAAAACAAAAGGTCCTGACCCTATAGCTCCTAAACTTGGATTAAATGGTGTGTGATAATGTGCCTGGTGCGCGTGGAGGACCCAAAAGGAGAATGATTGGCCGGGCAGCTCAGTGAAGAACTAACAAGCGTAAGTCATGAATAGAAACAGATGTAGAGCAGAAGCAACAGGCTAAGAGGAAAGGTGCAGGCGAACAACAACAAGTGATGCACCACAGCCAAGTTTTCATAAATGACAAACTAATATTCGTGACACTAACTCGTGTAATAAGGAACCTGTGTTATGAGTTTCTCCAGAGCGTTTTGGTATTGAGAGAGGAGAGAGCTTCACCAAAAGTTTCACAATGAATCGAGTGATGAGATAAACAGTGATGGTGCGTGAATGCAAAGCAACAAGATGGGTCATGTAGAGAAACAAATCGTCCCACTTCATCCCAAAATAAAAAAAAAAAAAATTGTTTTTGTTATTATCAGTTTGACCAATAATAAGCATTCAAATATATATATATATTCAAGTTTATTCATATCTGATTGGTTGATCTGGCCATATAAAAAGTGGATACAGTTTATACTCCTACTTTGCTCACACTTAAAATGAAATGGTGGGTTCTGTAATTAAGAGTCACTGCTGCACAAGAAGAGATGAAGGACGGGTCAGTACTGACACAACAGTAAAACTTTAATAAAGAATGAGCACATGAAATGACAGCAGGGTACAAATGTGCAGCATTACACACAGAAACACAGGCTTATATATAAAAAATACAAACCTGAGATATTTTCATTTAGCTCAGTACAGAAAACAGATTCTCACATCACTCATCACAAGACCAGAGAAGCTCAGGTGTCCTGAGAATGATAATGCAGCGATTGTTTCATTCAACATTAAAACAATAGTGTTTTCTTATCTGGAAAAGACGCCCAGAAAGATTAAAGACACACAGCCACTGATTTAATAAAATCACAGTGTCTGAGGCACAAATGGCTGCAGGTATAAAAAAAACACACGGCTGATTTCTACTGCATTTCAAAGTAAATCCATCTTCATACCCTGAGTAAGACGTGTGTTAAAATACAGACTTAAAATCTGATTGGCAGTTTGACAAATTGCAAGCCGAGCTTTGCATTTCATCAGGTGGAGGGAAGCTCGCACAAACTGTGCACATTTAAAGGTCCCACTTCTCAATAAGACGACCCTCATGACGGATTTATGAGTTAACACTTTACAAATCATTTATAAGCTGTTATAACAAATTAGATAAAAAGGGCAACAGTGACCTGCTGCTTGCCAAATAGTGAGACCACATGTATCTGTTCTGTTCAGCCTCATATCTCATTAGTTACTGAGCTTTCTTTGTTGTCTCCATCAACCAGTGTTTGTACCTGCTGCTAATTTATATATATATTATAATATAATACAATCAGATTGTTTTGCACAGCGGATATTAAAATGGAGATGCTTTTTGCTGGTTGGCATCTTCTTTAGGACGTTAGCATCCCAGGAAGTTACAAACATTTATAACTGATTAAGTGTAAAACACATCAACATTTATTAATCAGTTACAATCAGGCTCCTTTTACCAGTTATAAATGGTAGAAACTCATTAGTAACATTAGTGAGTAATAAGCATTAACTGGATCTTGCCAAATAGTGAGCCTGCATCAATGTATGAAAACTGTGTTATAACTTATTTATAGTTTTTTATTTATGATTTGTAAAGTGTAAACAACCAGATTAATTACCTAATTACAAACCATTTATAAATCCTTTATAAGGATTTATAACTCTTATTGTGAAATGGTTCTTGTTTAAAAAGAAAGCACATGTTGGTGGGACGCAATTTTGATCTTTAAGCAACAGTTAAAATAAAATCATCTTTGTGTAAACAGAACCACAAACGATTGTACCTTTCCCCCTGGACGTTCATTAATCTGAAAGCTTTAGCCAGAAAGCATCTCTCTCTCTCTCTCTCTCTTACACACACACACACACACACACACACACACACACACACACACACACACACACACACACACACACACACACACACACACACACACACACACACACACACACACCTCATGATGAAGGTGAAGTTGTAGGACCGTGGCAGACCTTTGTGGCTGATGCTGCTGAATTTATCCCAGAGGAACGGCGGGAGTCCGTCCTGCGTGGTCGGCCCGTTCACCGCCTCCGCGTGAAAGTCCCCGGCCATTTGAAAATCTGTCACCTGGACACAGAACAACACACGGAGGAGAGAAAATCTCAGCATTTGATGCTGCATAACCTACGTGACCTCCTATCAATGCAAAAGTGATGATGGGATAGTACCTTGGTGTCATAGCAACCTCCTGGTGAAGGCCGCTCTGACCTCAGGTCGTTACGGCAGCAGATGGACTTGCAGGGGTCGCCTTTGGAGTATGGATCCTTCCTGTAGTCTGAAAACAAACAGAGTAGATCTTTCTTTGAAATGTGGGACCAACTTCATCTGAATATCATTTGAGATCTGCTGTTCACCTGGTGAGAGCTGCAGCAGCTGCAGCAGCTGCAGCAGCTGCAGCGTGCAGGTATTTAACCCTCTGAGGTCGATGGATGTTTCTACTAATATCTACAACATAGATTTATGGTTCAAATGTAGTTAGAATCTGTAGACTCTTTTTTATTAACTAAAATAAGTTGAATATTTGAATGTAGGGCAGTTTTCCCAAGCACAAATAAACCCTGAAGTCTGGTTTATCTCATCCTTGTTTTTCCTTGTGTCCTCGCCTAAAAATTACGTTTTTAAAAGTGTTTTCCATCAACTTTTTTTTGGATGAACAAAGATCTTGTGCTCAAGAATACTATTGTATTTTTTTAGTCAAACAAAAATCTAAATCTAGATAAAAATTACTAAGAATTTTGTCAGAGTGACAGACAACACTACGACTCAGTTTATTTTACTCACATGTTGCACTGTCTTCATGACCCTATAGACGTTGATGAACTCATTTCAAGCACCAAAACAATTCATCCACATCAGTAAAGGTTTGTTTTCACAAGATATTTGAAGAATTTCAAAAACTAGGCTTCAAGTTTTCAGCATTGGGGCCGAATGATCAGTTTACACAGTGAAGGGCCTCGTTAGAGAAAGAGCTGAGGTTGTTCTGGGAATTGTGATATAAAACACTTGGGTGTGACGTGATGTACAACCAGCGTTTAAAAGGTGACGTTGAGAGATAATGTAGAAATGGAGAAAAGACATTACTGTGTTTTAAACTGTGTGCAGGGTAAATGCAAAAGATAAAGAAATGATAGAAAAGAAAGAAAGAAAGATAAAAGAAATGCAGGCTCCTGTTGGTACAGAGAGCCTGATGAACGTGAGTCATATAAAGTCAGGCAGAGCCACGCACCATTGAACCTCATGATGTGCTTCAGGGAGTCCAGGTCTTTGACATCGGCCTGGTCGCGTCTGAAGATCTTGGCTCTGGGGCAGAGATCGTAGGAGAAGTCCTCGCCGTACTCCTTCCACATCTCCCCGTAGCCGCTCAGCGTGTAGATCTTCTTGTGGAAAGGAATGTTGTAGGACGGCCAGTAACCTGCGGCAAACGGAGGCGGCAAGAAAAGATCAACCCGACAAAATGAACCAAACACCCGAAGGGAGACAGAAACGGAGATGTGTCGTTACCTCTGCGCAGAGCCTGCGTCTGGTCGGAGTACTCCACCAGCCCGGGGATCTGCTCCACCACCGTCAGGGCGCCGTCCTCAACGCTGTGGCCCAGCTTCACTCTGCTCCTGTCCAACACCATGTACTGGTTGTTGTAGGTACCTGCAACAACCAGTTTATAACCCTTTATACAAGAAGCTGAAATTCACATGGACCGTTTTGCAGCACAAGCAGATCCCTCTGAGGTCTGAGGGCATTCTCCCGCTTTCCACATTATTTCTTGAATTCACCTTTTAAAGGGGCGTGGCTGCATATTAGAAAATATCCAAGTGTTTTATGTCTCAATCTTCAGAGCAACCTCAGCTCTTTCTCTAACGAGGCCCCTCACTGTGTCAGCTGATCATTCGGCCCCAATGCTGAAAACTTGAAGCCGAGTTTTTATAGAATTATATTTTATATTATATTTCTTTGAAAAACAAACCTTTACTGTTGTGGATGAATTGTTTTGGTGATTCAAATGTGTTCACCAAAGTCTGTAGGGTCATAAAAATAGAGCAATATATGAGTAAAATAGTTGATAAATGGATAATAAAAGCCTAAAGTGACATTTTGTAATATCACTGAGTCGTAGTGTCTGTCAGTCTGCTTTAAACAAATTTTGGAGGCTATTAGTCACGTATGATCCCACAAGAATATTAAGGGGAAGTGGAGACTCTACAGACTCTAACAACATCTAACCCGCTACGCTGCACTATCACAGAGATATTAACAGAAACATCTGTCGACCTCAGAGGGATAATGTAATGTTGACAAATGCAAAACTATTCATGACGCTTGTGATAATGAATCATCTCAAGGTTTAAGCTTCAGACTGGAGCTTTATTACTCATCTCAAACCCAGACGTGAAACATGAAGCTGAGTGACGTCTTCAGTTTTGAATTTCTGATTTTGAATTTCTAATTTTGAATTTCTAATTTTTGATAATTTTTTATGTAAAATAAATGTTATCAAAGAGCGAAATAAAGCGTCCAACAATATAAAATCTAAATCTACACCGGCATGATTGAGGAAAAGGCTGGCAGTAGCAAAAACACTCATTCTGCACTTGAACTTTCAGCTTTTATCTGGAGGCAGATCTTCGCTCCTCCACGTGTCTCAGGTGCAGAGTTGATTTACATTTTACCCGTGTGTTTAGTGATGATATCCGTCTTTATTTTTTTACTGTTACCTCCTAAAACAATTAGTAACGGAGCTTAGTGCTTTACAAATATATAATCAATGAGCTCCACTCACCAGAGTTGTACATGGAGAAGGTTTCGGCCCACTCCTCTCCGGTACGAGCCAGACTGTGAGCCAGCCTGACCCTCTGCCACGCCAGCAGGCTTTTGGGGGTGATAGTGTCGAAAAGGGAGGAGTTGAAGACGTTGTTGGTGGTTTGGGTCATCATCAGGCCGCTGCCCAGGAGGTAGAAGTCATCCAGAGACACCAGGAAACCTAGAGGCAAGACGGACACTGTGAGCTGAGACATTTCAGAAATAACATTTTTCAGTGTGTGTGATGGTGGAGGATTCAGGAAGCATTCGACCCTTTCAGTATAAAACAAAGAATAAAACTTTGGAATATGACCGTGTGCGCCCAGAAAAGAAGCGGGGACTAAATGATAGTTTTTATAAGAGCAGGTTTTTATTCCTCCGCGACAGTCAGAGCAGCAGCCATGTTGTTTTTTAGGTTGTTCGTCCGTCCCTTTCTCGTGGACACGATATCTCACAAATGCTTTCACGGAACGGCTTCAAATTTGGCGCAAACATTCACTAGGACTCAAGGGGTGAACTGATTAGATTTTGGTGGTCAAAGGTCAAGGGTCAACATCACGGTGACCTCACAAAACATGATTTTACCCTCGTGAATGCGATATCTTGAGAACTCGAGGGAATTTGGTAAAAACATTGACTTGGACTCAAGGATGAACTCAGTAGATTGTAGTGGTCAAAGGTCAAAGGTCAGTGTGACCTCACAAAACACTTTTTAGCCATAACTCAAGACTTCACACAGAGATTACGACAAAGTTTCACATAAATGGTTCATATTTTAACGACTCTGGATAAACAGATGTGACCTGCGACCAGTCTGAGTGGCGGAGGGATACAACCGCGAGGAGGTGATTCTAGTTCCTGTTGCCATTTAAACTACTGGACATTACAAGCTCCTGCTGTTGTCACAGATCCACTTCATGACACACAAACACTGGTAAATATCCTTGCTATCTCTGAAGTTCCTGGGCTCTGCGTACCAGGGTAGCTGCTGAAGGACAGTTTCCCCGTGGCGGCGTGGGGCTCAGCGATGTGGAAGTCCCAGTGTTTGTAGATCCGCATGGTGGCAGCGTACGTGTACCAGCTGGAGTGGGCGAACAGGAGGTTCTCAAAGCCGGGCAGCATCTGAGACAGAGACCAGCACACAGGATTCAATCAGGGTCAGAAGAAATCGTTTTAAAATTTGTGTTAATGTGACTCAGATTAGAAGACATTTCAGGTGATTCCAAAGGTTTCCAAAGAAACAACAACATCAGGCTGAATTTCAGGGACATGCGAGTAAAATGATACAAAAAGCCATTTGATGTCAAAGCGGCGCCATAAAAAAGCCGCCTTGGATTTCAGTGTCCCGTGTCACTTTGCTGCAGTGATATCTGGATCAAAGCTTCAGCATGAGGTCACATGTTGGAGCAGCTACATAATCAACTCTAATTCAAGTGGTGTGAATTTATAAAACACAAGTAAGAAAGGAAATAAAATAAGGCAAAACAAACACATAATTAAACATAAGAAAGATGAAACTCAGAACAATACAGCACTCTCAAGCTCTGTGAATCATTCCCACATGGAGACACAACATTTATTATGTTTGTGCTGGTTAATAGATTTCTCGCCCACGCAAGACACATTTACACTAAAACGAGTGTGTGTGGGAGTTTCTTCTTTTTTTTTTTGTGTAGAAAATGAAACTCTCCAGAAACATGACACACAGAAGTCCTGGTGTGGGTGTTAAACATGGTCGCAGAGGAGAAGTACGCTCTTTTACTGACGACATTATCCACTGATGCAAAGAGAAAATGGAAAGATTTACATCCGTTAAATATGTTAATTATCCAAGGTGAAGAATCATCTCTCAGGAACTCTGGACACGATATCTCGATAACACCTTGACGGAACTTCTTCAGATTTGGCACAAACGTTCATCTGGACTCAAGGACGAACTGATTAGACTTTGGTGGTCAAAGGTCAAAGATCACGGTGACCTCAGAAAACACTTTTCACACAAATGTTAAATGTTGTATATGATTCTGGATGAACAGGGATGGAACCTGGAACTAGTCTGAGCACCTATGACACCTCCCTGAATACATGTGAGTACAGCTGATGTTAGAGTTGCGTTGCTTATTTTGGACGGCAGCTTATACAACACGTTCTGACGTGAAGTTTAAAACGGGCGTTTCAGCCTCTCACCTTGATGAGAGCAGAGCAGTGTCCCATCCCTGGGAGTTTGAAGTCTCTGAGCGGAGGGTTGGAGCCGGGCGCCAAGGCCGGGATCAGATCCAGCAGATCTCCCACCGAGTTCAGGAACTGGACGTCAAACAGGGTCAGCGGCTACGGGAAACACACCAGATAAACAGCTGTTAGCCAGAACATGAAAACGAACAGCACCGTCTTCTTGCAAAACAACTGATAAAATGATGAACTGAGAAAGAAAAAAATATTCAAAATCACAGATCATGAGACTTTCATGTTCTTCATTAACCTTAAAACCTAAAATACCACTTACATTTTATTGATAGTAAAACAATAACACCGACACCAGAAGTGATTTTAAACTGATCTCTGAAAAATAAAGATCTGCTTCTTCTCAACAAAAGCACGAAACACACGATGTCATGTCCCTTTAAATTTTAGAGCGACAAAAGGTGATATATGATCACATGTTTGTACTGGAGGTTCCTCATTTTAAGATGCAGAGAAAATCATCAAGCACTTCTTTTAAATGTCTTAATTAATCATTCTTATTTATGATTTATTATTTTTTTATTCTCATTTTACATGAATGTTTTTAATGTTTTTCATTTTAGATCAATGCTTGTTTTTTATGTGCATTTTATGTCTTTTCATGTGAAGCACCTGGTGCATGTCATTTGTGCTAAAGTTTATTGTCATTATTATTATTATTATTATCAAAATCTCAAAGTGGATTTTCTATTTTCTTTTCATTTTACAATGAATTATAAAATTGTCTTAATTAGGACACTTCTGAGTTTTATCTTTAACTCTATAAATACATTTGATTTTGAACATTTGTAGTTGTTTCTTTTGTATTTTCTATCCACAGTTTCTAACTATGGGAATATATATGTATATATACTGTATATTATTGTTCTGCTGGGACATGTTTATGTCTGCTATTGTACTTTGGCACACAGGGTTTCTCTGCATGTAAAAGAGACTTATTTGTCTGTGCAAATAAGATTTAACTTGCTCTAATAAACGAATGTTAATGTAATTAACGGCCTTCGTACCTTTTTCCCTTCTTTCTTGGCCCAGTCTCTCACTCCTGCCTGCAGCCCGTCCATCTGGGCCACGATGAAGCCTGCATGCTGCCACAGAGGATCAGAGCTCTTGTTCAGTTTCACCTGCTCTCTGACCCATGAATCCTGCTTCCTACAAGCACAAGAGCCACATTTACTGTTTTTATTATTTGTTATAATGTAAAACACATAAAAGCAAAGAACCAAACACCGAGCTCATAAATAAAAACCTGTAGACATGTAGTCTAACGGATACAAACTTAAACTTGAACTGAGATATCATGAACAGAAAGAAACGTGATCCACACAATCAGAAATTCTGATTTTCACAAACAAATATTGTCTGGTAAACCTTACAACGCGACGCTACAGAGAGCGACATCACGCCCTGAGCTGGGCGTAACATCTCTGAGAAGAGGATATGAAAGATGATGACAGTGATGTGTGACTCAGATCATCTTACGTTTCTGCTGCTGCTGCTGCGGTTTTTAATTCTTAAAAGGAAAAGAGAACAGACTCACGCCATGAAGCTCTGAACCAGGCCGAGGATCTTCGGGTCTTGGATCAGCTGCGGATACATGTTGGTGTAGTGGTCCATCATCTGCCTGGGGAGGGAGAGTGCATATGAACACTAAGTGGATGCTGGAACACAGTGATTGATGATGTTTGATTTCTCGATTCTTTTCTATTCATCTTCTGATTCTGTATTTTTCCTTGTTGTTACAGACGGTGTCAAAGATCAGAGTGTCTTATCTCTCTCTGGCGTCCAACCTGCACTCTTTGATTACTGATATTTGTTTTGTTTTGATTATCAGGATGGATGCGTCGACATAGATACTGCAGGATTAGCACATTCATTCAACACTCACTGGGCAGTGAGGAAACCTTCCAGGTATCCGGCCAGGTAGAAGGTGATGTCATCAGTCTCCTGGGTCTTTCCGTAGCCGGCACGGATCTCCAGGACACTCCAGCCTGTACTGGACAGGGTGTTGTTCAGGTACCCGTACGCGTCCCCCTCCGTCTCCAGCACCCCCTCCTTGAGCAGGACCATTTTGTGTTGGGAGTCCCAGTACACCGTGGCTGCTGTCATCTCTGAGAGGAGATCAAGACATAAACAAACGTCTGTGCTGAATCTGAAAATCAACTACTGCTGATACTGCTTTTTTTTTTTGCAAAGAATTGAGTGGATAGTTGAGAACATTTCACCGGTTGGAGAAAGAACCCTTCCTTCCTCAACATCTTTTTCCTTTTTTATTTTCTAACGATTGTAATGATTCTAATGAATTAAAATGATTTCAACAGTATTGCTCATAATTAATCTACAATACGAAGAAGGGATGTATTTTAACCCATGTGTGCATTAATGTGTTGGGAGACAATCCAGTAAGTTATCTAAATTTCAAAACAGGAAAAAAAAAAATTAGACAAGAAATGTATATACACACATACCTACATACAACCAAGGTTCAATTCATTTGTTAATTCCATAAAATATGATTTTGCTCCATTATGTTCTGCATTTTTTAAAAAACATTTTAGCAGGAGTGACAGATGACATGTACAGTACTTGAGGGTCACATGACTAGAAGAGGGGAAAAAAAATATCTCATTCTCACACTGGATTTCATCTTTCTTTTCTTTTCTTTTCTATAAATGTTTCCATGCTGGCTTATGTTAGTACAGATTTATGGCCATAAACAAAAAAATGAAAGTTAAAACGTCCATATATGTGACAGGAGCCCCTTGTGAGTTTGGGGGATTAACCTACATGTAAATCACCACATTCAACTCAAGCTGTCACCCCCGACGCACCTTAAATCACAACAGCTAACTGAGAGTGAGTAAATATCATTGACACAATGCAGTGTGCGTGGTTTAAGCCATACACTATTTGTTAAATCATAAAAAACAAAAATAAAGCCATTAGATCCTTATACAACCACGCGACTTCACATAAACTCGGCCTACTTACTGTCTGCAGAGACGAAGGTCGCAGCCGCGTTGAATAAAAGAAAAACACACAGTCTCTCTACTGAAAGCATGGCTGTGTGAGAGCCGCTAAAACGCAAAAACAACTGCAAAACAAGAGACAAGGATCGTCCAAAGGTGGCTCAGGCGAAGAGGAAATAAGTTGTTTTGTGGCGAAGGGAAAGTCCGAGGCGGCAGGAGTGTCGGCGGAGCGGAGTGTTTCCTGATTGGCTGCGGGCCGGAGGAAAAGGGAACAACAACACATGGTACATGTGTCCTTTGAGAGGAAGCAGAGTCGTACTGTTTACTGTCAGGAAGCAAAACCTTAAGATTATGTAATATTTTTGTAAAATAATTTCAAACGGGAGCAAAAAGATTTCACCCCAGATGGGACTCGAACCCACAATCCCTGGCTTAGGAGGCCAGTGCCTTATCCATTAGGCCACTGGGGCTATGCGGCTGATAAATGGTAATATATAAGTATATATATCTAAATGTTTACATATATCGTCTCGCTCTTTCTCTAGATATACATATATACGATGACTTATTGATAAAATAGTAATAATTATGTTAATTCTACTAATCTGTTAATTATAGTTGCCACGACCTTGTCGGTAAAAGAGATACGAGATGAAATGTTCACACAGGCTAACGTTAGTTTAAAAAAAGACAACAATTATATCCTTCTAGAATAGGCCTAACATCTTCGCTATTATTATTATTATTATTATTAATAATTTTTTTTTTTTAATTAATGAATCATTATTTATTTGTGGGACAAAACAACTGTGGAAATAAGTCTACTCATTTCAGCCAAAATGCTGTAGTTGTTTATGAGTCAACCTGTGCAAAAGAAACAAGTAGTAGGTCCCACTGATGCGTTACATTGCAGTTATCCAGAAAAACAAAAATACACAAACAAAACGTCTTTTTTCAGTCCTACACAGGGACTTCAGTGCACTCCTGTCATTGCTGTGTGCAGAACAGTGTGATCTGATGTGATACTGCCCCCAAGTGACAGCATCAAACAAATACCCCCCCCACCCCTAAATCATGATCATCTTAATCCTCAGAAGACAAAAATGAAAACAGACTCATATAATTGAATAATTATATTCACTATAATATAGAATCAATTTTGCTAATTAAAACTTTTAAATATATTTTGACAAAAAAGAATAAATAAAGTTGGAATGACAAGAAAAATCATGACACCTGACTTTAAACACCCTTTCCACTTGTTCATACTTATTTACACGTAGTGTTTGCATTTTGCTATCAGCAGCACGGTGAAGCTCTGTGAGGCCGTGTGTGTGTTTCTCCTCCTGAACAGAAACACTGTCAGAGGTAAGGAACAGCTGGAATGAAAACAAGCAAAAAAAAACATGCTGTTGAGGGGAAGTACGCAATGTAGGAGAGTAAATAACACGTTAACTTGAAGCATGTGAGGAGATAAAACAGACTGAATGAAAAAGGCTTGGGTGATGACACTTTTCACAGCGGTCCCTTTTTTTTTCTAAACAATTAAAATGTGCCAAGAAGAAGAAGAAACATAAGGGTGCAACAGCTGCATGTAACAAACATTCATGCAGGAACAGAATCACGTCTATCTGCAACAACACCTTCACATTTTCTACATTTATCCACCAGTTTCATTTGCCACTTGTTGCCAGAGACACTTAACATTTAAATCTGTGTCCAAAATGCAACAAGTTCTCAGCAAAGAAAGTAAAATAAATCCGCACATGTCAAGGTATAACTGTTACAATCCACAATATGCACACATGAAAACACAGCCCAGACCCATCAGACTTCACGAAGGCACAACTCGTATGCATATAGTTCCAACTCTGCAGCATGAAAACCCGTCCGCAGCACTCACATTAAAATAAAGTCGTGTCTCATTCAGTTTTGACTTCCTGTGTGGAGGACAGACATGTTAAAAAGCACAAACTAAAATAAGAAGGCCGTTGATTTCACAGGAAGGAAACACCAACAGACCGGCACACGGCATTACAGCAGCGATTTTCAGTAGTAATCACGTTTGCTAAGACAGTGTTAACCTTTCTCACTGCTATATTGCTCTCCAAAGATCACGGCTTGGTGAGTGTGTTGACATTAAATGCAAGTGTACAGTTATGTTGGAGGGGTGGACTTCATCTCCACAAGAAGGCCACAAACACACACACAGATGCACGCACACGCACACACACACACACACTCATTGGTCATCGATTAGTTTCTCAGCGCCGTTCTCCGTTTGTCTGCCTGCGCTGCCGCTTCCTCCTTCCTCTCCGCCTCTCCTGCGCTCCTCCTCCTCTTCCTCCTCGTCCTCGGTGTAGGAGAGCGACTGGCCGCTGTAGTTGATCATGGTGCGGGTGAGGTCCACCTCGATGGGAAAGACATCCGCCTCCTTCAGGACGGCGTAGCACTCGTCGTAGTAGTGCGACATGCCCGAGACGAAGCGCTGCAGCTGGAACACGATGTCCTGGACTGTAGATGAAGAAGGTGAAAGAGTCGGGTGAATAAATGAAGTGAAGACACTAAAGAACATTTTTAAAGACGTCATTTTGTTGAAGAGAAAGACAATAAAAGAGGGAAAAAGATGAGGGTCGCGGGTGCACTTGTTACTGTGCGGCAATGAAGACAAATTATGAGATTAGATCACATGTAAAACCTTAAACTGGCTGGTTGAATTATTTTCATCAGTGTTTCTGCTGCATATTTTTTACATTTCTCTGTTTCTGTCTCTGATAATCTGCCACATCATTTCAATCACAATGAAAGCATCATGACTGATGAACGGTGTGTGCCAATGTACCAGCGTCATCCTGTGATATCTTGGCAAGAACTAGAATCACCTCCTCGCGGTTGTATGCCTCCGCCACACATCCCTGTTTATCCAGAGTCGTATAAAATACGAACCACGTGTGTGAGATTTTGTCATAATTTTTGTTATAACTAAAAAGTGTTTTCTAAAGGTCACTGTGAACTCGACCTTTGACCTTTGAGCACCAAAAGTCGAATCAGTTCATCCTTGAGTCCCGTCAAGGTGTTACTGCGATATCATGTCCATGAGAATGAGACAGACGGACAGACAACCGGAAAACAATATGGCTGTCGGCGGCGTGGAGGAATAATCAGGCTATTATATGATGTTATTAAGACAAAATAATAATTTACTAATTTACTTTACAACTCAAAACATGTCTTAACTCATTGGTCTCTTTCTCTTTTGTGTCTCATGTATAAACAGTATAAACTGTCCCATTATGTGTTCATATTATTTATTTACTATAGAAACTGTAACATAATGAGTTATTTTTTTAATCTATTTTACTTGTTTTATTCTTATTTATTTTACTTACCGCTGCTTGATGTTCCTTGTATTGACCCAAGTTTGCTGACATGTTGCCTCTGACATATAATTATATTGGGACAAATAAAGTCTGAATCTGAGCGTGATGATGCACGGAGGAGAAATTAGCTGGAAAAACAAAACACAAAACAATAGAAAACGAGTGTCTGACCATGTTTCTGATCCAGCAGCTCGATCTTCTCCAGAACGTCCTTCCTCATTTTGGCGAAGCGAGCCCGAGCCTCCTGCCGACACCGCAGCACCAGCCGGTATTCATAGTTACCGGTGCTGACGCGATACAGCGGCTCTCCCATGGCCTGAGGGAAGACGCACATCATTCACTGCTTCGTAAAAGTACATAAAACCTTTGTTTGTTTATATCATTCTGATTTAATTCCTCAGACGAGAATTGAAACAGCAACTCACAATACTGCTGTATTCTTCATCGTCCATTTCCTTCACCTTCAGGCAGTATGACTGAAAGACACGAAGGAGGTAATTAATACCATCATTCTGCCGACTGACAGACGTGCAACAGACTGACGGCGTTACAGCATCATACTGTGGCGGATACTGAAGCAGAAGAAGAGGGAGCTGTGGATTTACCAGATACTCGAACTTCACATCCAGGTACTTGCGGATGGTGAGCTTCGTGTCTGGGATGGCCTTGTGAAGATACGTGTTCAGGTCGTGGAGCATCTGCACGAGTCAGACGGTTTGATATGAGGTCGGTCATTTATTTTTCACCACCATAATTTGCATTTGATCATACATGGAAGAGAAATACTGCACCGCACAGATCAGGGTCACATTTAAAAACAACAGACTCGTTGTGAACAAGACACAATATTCATGTGACGTGAACAAAGAGAGCAGCATTAAAACTTTTCTTTTAAAAGAAATACAACTGAACACAAAGCCAAAGCAGAGAAGAGGATGGAAGCACATTAAGAGTAAAAGGTGAAAAAGGTTTTTCTAAAAACGTTTTAAACTGTACTCACGGGTTTGATGGTCTTTAGTAGCTGAATACCATATTTCTCGATGTTGCGGTGAGCGTCGGCAAACTTCACAAACGCCTCGCTGGCTGCAGCCTGAGGCTCCTGAGTGCAGTATTTTCTTCCATGTATGATCAAATGCAAATTATGGTGGTGAAAAATAAATGACCGACCTCATATCAAACCGTCTGACTCGTGCAGATGCTCCACGACCTGAACACGTATCTTCACAAGGCCATCCCAGACACGAAGCTCACCATCCGCAAGTACCTGGATGTGAAGTTCGAGTATCTGGTAAATCCACAGCTCCCTCTTCTTCTGCTTCAGTATCCGCCACAGTATGATGCTGTAACGCCGTCAGTCTGTTGCACGTCTGTCAGTCGGCAGATGATGGTATTAATTACCTCCTTCGTGTCTTTCAGTCATACTGCCTGAAGGTGAAGGAAATGGACGATGAAGAATACAGCAGTATTGTGAGTTGCTGTTTCAATTCTCGTCTGAGGAATTAAATCAGAATGATATAAAACAAACAAAGTTTTATGTACTTTTACGAAGCAGTGAATGATGTGCGTCTTCCCTCAGGCCATGGGAGAGCCGCTGTATCGTCGTCAGCACCGGTAACTATGAATACCGGCTGGTGCTGCGGTGTCGGCAGGAGGCTCGGGCTCGCTTCGCCAAAATGAGGAAGGACGTTCTGGAGAAAGATCGAGCTGCTGGATCAGAAACATGGTCAGACACTCGTTTTCTTATTGTTTTGTGTTTTGTTTTTCCAGCTAATTTTCTCCTCCGTGCATCATCACGCTCAGATTCAGACTTTATTTGTCCAATATAATTATATGTCAGAGG